AAATGGTGGGTTAAATCTCCTATTGGTATCCTCAGCCCCTGCCAAAATCAGACGTCTCCTGCCTGTTCCTGGAGGCTGGTGTTTGCAGGGCTGTCCTCATGGCAGGTGCGTTCAGGTTTCCAGGCTCTGAGAATACCAGTCCCATCTTTATGCCTTGAAGGCAGCTGAGGCACAGGCACCAGACATCTAAGGAGCTGTGTCGCATTGGAGCGAGGAATCCCACTTTCTTCTCAGCACTTGGCCTGCTGGACCATTACCATGACAAAGGAGGATTATTGACTTTCACAGTCACGATGCCTTTGATTTGAGGCTTGCTTTGATTTGGGGCAGTAGTGTTCACTGGCCTAGAGAAGCAATGGTCTCCTTCAGGTGAAGAGCAAGGAGAGAAACACGCTTTAGAGAAGGAGGAAGAAGAGGGAAAGAATTGGCTGAAGAGGCTGAATGGAAGCCCTAATGGATGCAGTTAGTCTCTGGGAAGGATGCAAAAGTAAGCCATGATTCCTTAAGACAATTAAAAGCAAATTGTCTGGCTGAGCGATCCCAGAGCAAGGAAGATGCTCCCCCAGACTATAATTCAAGGGGCTGAATGGACCTCAAAAACCGAGAGCGGAGAGAAAAAAAAACAGAAGATGAGGCAAAAGATGGAACAGATGTGAGCGCTTTTGTTGTGAAGACTTGGAGGCTAGCGGGATGGCGATAGGCTAATTTGAGGCGCATAATGCCAGGTTCCTTTCATATGCAGAATAGCACTTTGATCCAATGTGGATGAAAGTGCTGAAAAGTGGAGTGGATGGTGGGGGTCTTTTGTCTTTGACAAAAAAGGCATCTGCCGGGCTCTAACCCCCTTTTCCCCACCCCCTTAGCCTAGCAGGCCACTCCAACAATGCTAGCAAAGGGGCCAAGTGTCTCCTGACAGCTGAAGAAATCTCCAGGAGGAGAATGAGGCTTGCAGCAATATGTATACCAGAGAGCTTAATCGATTTTTTCCACAGTACAAAAAGGGGGAGGGTTGGGGGAAGACAGAGAGATCACAGTGGAAATGGGAGGTGGGAGGAAAAAAATCCCTTTCTAATAAACTTGTTACTTTTGTTCTCCAAATACATCTTTTCAGGAGATGCTTTGATGCTAGTATGAATACACTTAATGGAGCAGAGTAGAGTAGAGTTGCTGGAGGGGGAGGTGTGAAGAAAGGAAGAATAGTTTTGCCAGGAGGATGAATGTGGAGTGATTTCTGTGGATTCCAACACAGATTCCAACTGTGTAGTTGTTCAGTAGGGGTGCCATGATCCCTCTCCAGCGGATGCCACCATTCTGTTCAGACCAGCTGATGTGGAGACTATTTTTGGCAATAGCATCTCCTGCTCTCCAGCTGTGCAAAGACTGGTGACACAAGTTACTGTAACTTGTTAAGGAGGACTAATTGTCAAAGACATTGATGCTCTTTTGATTTCTGTCCATTTGTTGTATCTTGACTTTTCTTGCTCCCAATGCTTGGGCTGTAGTTGAGAATGGTGCAGTGGGACTTGGGCTGCTGCTGCTGTCATCAAAGCAGCTCAGACCACCTCTGTCCCTCACAACGCCAAGGTGAAAGTCCCCTCTGTGGGTGGGCTTCAGGTGGTTCTTGTGTCACTTCTATCTCAGGTGCTATGTGCAGTGATAGGATGCAGGTTTAGATCCAAATGGGGAAAGACGTTGCTCATGGGGAAGTCTGACCTGGCTGGGAACAGTCCTCTGTAGTCCTCCATGCCAAAGAAAAACAGCCCATGCAGCACCATGCAAACTCACCAACTGGGCTGTGAGGTCCATGGCAGCCTGCTGGATGCTCCCTCCCCAGGCAGTCATGGTCAGGATGGGGTGTAGGAGCCTTGGGCAGTGAGCTTGGACGCTTTGTTCTTTGAGCTGAAATATGAACCACCTCATTGTGAAAGGTCTTTTGTGCTTCATCAGCTGGGCAGGCAAGGCCCTCAGCTGCTGCTATCCTGAGATTTCTTCATGAGTCCCAGTATCAACTCTCCCACCTCCACACCAGACAGATGTACTCTTAGCAAAGACCAGAGGACTGCCAAAGCTGCCTCACCACAAGAACTTTGTGTCATGCTAGCAGTTAGAGATGTGAAGGGGGCAGGGGGGATGTGAGTTGCCTCTATACCTGTGTAAACTAGTGTGATAATCCTCCATAAATGCAGGTAGAAAATGTGCTCTTGAGGCAGATTTATTTAGCTGTTTGCAGTTTACTGTGTGCTAGTTTCTTATGGCCAGTGGGTGGGCATGAGGAAGGAAGATGCCTGTGTGGCTCAACCTGGCTGCTAGTATCCAGGCCAAGCCTGTTTGGAGGAGAGACTGAATCTGTTTCACCTGAAGCACACTGCAAGGCAGGAGGGAAGAGATGTGTATGGAGCAGAAGGTAGCACGCAGAGCAAGCGACAGCAG